TTTAATCTATTTTTCATTCCCATTTATTCATCTCTGAGATTTCCTTCCTACCTCAGTGACGGAGACTGTGAATTGTCTCTGGAAATGTGGGAAATCACATAGGGTGCATGGAGCCAACTATTTCAGCTGCATAACCCCACCACCTTTTTGTGAAGGATCATATCCACTCATCGTATAAGCTTTCCCTTTGGCCTCTGTCAGACAAGGTTCAGAGCCATTTTAGGTTAAACCTTTCTGTCCAGTGAGTGCTCACCCATCATATTCATGAACGCCAAGGTGCCATGAGAGAGTTCCCATTTTGTGGTGAAGCCCCTCCCACATCGGTCTATGACGCCCCTATCATCTTATGAAACATTCCAACAGATCCAACAGCAAATGGATAACCCATTTTCTAGTGTGTTTCCTCATTACTGAAGGGCCCATCTTCCTACTAATGATGGAAGGCCTTTAGAGAGTTCATCATCTATCACATGCACTCATATTGTTGGAGGGAACGAAGTTACGCCCTAGTTTAATTTAGGTTAAACCAGAGTGGCTCCCACTGACTTTCATAAAGCCAGATTTCTGGTGGGCCCTAAACGGCTAGGGTTGCGCACGTATCCTTTTCAGGGGTGTGGGGCCCACCATTGAGGGAGATCATCCAATGATCTTTAGGGACACCATGGCAATGATGTGCATTCAGCCATGGTGTGCGCAAGAGCCACTGTCGTATCTGCATGAGCCAAGTACTTATGGCCCATGTACGTAGCACATCACACATCCATACATCACATGCAAGGATAGAATTGATCCAATCAATTAATATCTATAAAGCCCATTAATAAAGCCCATTTTAATCCATAATATTATCTAGGTATATGGGCCAAATAGGGTTAGGCAGTTTGGCCCATATAGCTTTCCTACAAATTGTGGGCTTTTGCAGTTTTAACACCTTAAAACTGGGCCTTACAGGTGTGGGCCGAATTAAGTCTCTTAATTAACCATCAATCCTTTGACCCAAAAGGTGAAAATTAGTGCTGGCATCAGCCTGCATCGAACCACAGATTCGGTCCAACCAGTTTGGATCAATCTGGTTCGAATGGGTCTAGGGTTTGATTTAAAATTAAAGATTTAATTCAAGAAAATGATCTGAAATTAAATACTGATTAAAGAACAAGCAAGAATCAGTCATAGGGATGTTCGCACACCTCCATCCTGCAAAACAAATGTCAGAACCCAATTTGTAGTTTCACAAACTGCAAATCGCAGATAGCGATCTTGATATCTGCGAAATCTCCTTCTGTGCCGCCATCTTCGATCAAGAAAATAAAATAAAGAGAAAACCTAATTTCTATTAATATTATATCTGATTGAATCCTATACATTCAGTCTAGAAAAAAAATTATTTATAGACCAGAATGTAAAAACAAAAACTACAAATCGCAAGTTCACTGCGCCAATCAAGATTTCGATCTCCAGTTGTACGAACAGCCCAAAAATCAAGAAAATAATAAAGGACAACTCTAAATATAATCCAGATTTATAAAAATTAATTTCAGATCATTATCCCTTTAATTGGGAACCGATTTCCCAAAAAAACCCTAATTTGCGCAAATCGGGTAGAACACCTTCTGCCCATTTGCGCAGGGTCAGATCTGATTTAATTTGGTTCAAGATTTGAACCTGGCTCTGATACCACTGAAGGGATGAGAGATCCATCATATGGATGAACGAACCCTACAGGAAGGTAGGGCAAAATTTCAAAAATTTCCTCTCTCCCCATCTAGGAATCACATTCCCTGTTTAGAAAATCTGCATTTTCAATGATCAATCTTGAACCAAGAACCGAACCAGATCTAAACCAGAACAGTAGGAGAGGGATATACCTGATACGAAGAAACAATATCTCCCAACGAAGGTGTTCACACCCAAAGAAAGACTCCAAAGACTGCTCCCATTGAAGATGACACAGTGAATGGTGGAGTAGAATCAGCAGGGTCCGTCTAACGAACCGAATTCTTCAGCAAAAATCCAATGGAGGCAGTGAGCACGACTTCTGATCAGCCTTTCCCAAAGATTGATATCAAGACACCTCTTGATCGCTCCTACAATGGAGATTGAACTGGCAGTGTGGCGGTAACTGGAGGAAATCGCAGGGAGAAGATGGCGCTGTCACACTGTTGTTGTCTTCTCTCTGTGTGTTCTAGAGATCTGATCTCTGGATTTCTGGGATGTGAGGATGAACTGAATGGTTCGCCCCTTCCTCCTTTTATAAGCTTAAAGAGAGTTCATAATCTCATTAGGAGTTTCCTAATCCAAATCTGTAAATGGATTAAGAGTTCTCTTTAAGAGATAAGGATAAGCCCTTATCTTATCTGCAGATTAGATCAACATTCACCTAATCTCATTAGGAGGTTTCCAGATCGGAATTCAGATCTGGACTCTCTGAGTGGATAGGGTAAGACCCTATCCTATCTACTGATTTAATCCCAGATCCGCCCCCTATTTAACTAATCAAATTAGGCCAGTTTGAAATGGGCTTTAGGCCCAATAAGTCTAAGTGCTCAAACTGCTTCTAACCTGCTGCCCAGTTGGGCTTCTTTGTATGGCGTGGGACCGAAACATTGATCTACACATCAGGCACAAGGATTCAGCCCAGCCTTTGTTACAAGGCCTGGCCGAATTCACTAAAAAGACAGTGAACCCCCTAAAGCCCATCACATGGACTCCTAATGGGCTCAACACTTACACTAAGTGGTCCCTAGGCCAAGTCACCGTATAAAAACCCAGGGACTGTGGGTGGTGTACTGTCGTAGGCACCCAAAAATAAAACCTATGCTCGTGAGAATAAAATGTAGTAGTGTGAGTAAGGATCGTTCCCACAGAGAGTATTTAACCTGAATTATGTGCTACGTGAATCAAAGATGGAGGGGGGGGTTGTATATAACGAAAACTAGATTTAAAAGAAAGAAAATCAGAATTAAAAAGAACAAAATATAAACGGGAAATTAGGCAATTTAGAGTGCTAAAATTAACCAAAAGAACAAATCTTGGTCTAGGATAATATCCACCATGAGAATTTCACTATTGTTCATCGATGCAAAGATAAATCAATTCAGACTTTGAATATTCATCGTAGGAATTATTTTCCTGCATCTTCCAAATATCAGTTAATCGAAAAACAAGCGATCCTCTTAACCCTTAATACTGAACAACCCCTAAACAAGCGCTAAAGATTTAATCCAGCAATAGCATTAAGCATTAGAGATCGATGAAACTAAACAACACGAGCACAAGCGGTTGCATTTAATTCATTGGAGTGTTCTTCCTAAAATCTAACAATTTCTGACGCAGCAAATCATTAAACCCTAGTTGCTTTGCAAATTAGAGGGATCAAACAATTACGGATTTGATATCTAATCTAGCAATAGATTGTAACGAATAATAAACTAATAGGCCTTCCTAGCAATCAAACGAAACAATCATAGATATAAACATAGAAGAACATTCGATATCCAAAGCATGAATTAAACAATAAATACCAAATTAGATTTCACAGTTTGGTGGATTCTAAGGCTTCTGCTTCCTTCGACCAAGTACAAGAGTTTAGCCACACATGGTCATGGTGAAAACTCCAAGAAAATCAGAGAATCAAGAAGAGAGGGGTGGAGAGAAGAGAAGAGAGGTTCAGCTGCTCCCCATCTGCTTGCCTTCTCTCTAGGTTTTTCTCCTCTTATCTACTTCCCCCAAGAGAGGCCTACAAATCTCCTAAAATTTCTCTAGGTCAATCTACAAGTCTGACTTATCCATAAAAGACTCAAAAATAAGATAAAACAAATTTCTTGTGTGAGTGGGAGAGTGGTGAAATCGCGGATGAAACTTTTCCTTATCTTTCCAATGCATCTTGGAGAATTTCAATCGGAGTCCGGATAAGAGAGTTATTCTCAATCTACCACACGGTGCCGAAACTGTGTAAAATGACCCGATTAGCCTTGTTTCTCACCTAACGCCTCTTTTCGTGCCTTAAACCAAAATATAAGAATTATGAGTGCATTTAGGCATAAAATAAACATAAAAGGCTAATTATTAAGGGATAAAAATATAATATTTTTCGTTCTCATCAAATCCCCCCACACTTGGACCTTGCCCATCCTCAAGCAAGACAAAACTTAAGCAAACTAAGCAAACTATTCTACCAAAGTTAAACTCAATATTCCTTCTTCTTTATCCACAAATATTCTAGGTTAACTGTTGCAAACCGTTAAATCAACACGACTAAGTTATACATGACTCATCCATCAACCAATCCAATTTTTTGCTACTACAAACTAGGTAGTAAACTAGGGAAAACATTTTTATCTCCTCTCTCTCTCTCTTTTTGTTTTGTTTTTTTTTTTTCTCTCTTTTTTTTTTTTATTTGGTGGAAGTGAGTGAATTTTATGCTCCATCTCACTTTTAGAATTACTTGATCAGTATGTGCATTTTATGTTCCATTCTACTGTTCGAATTGCTGGCTAGTAGGTGCATTTTATGCTCCATCCTACTATTGAATTGTTTGGTTGGTAGGTGCATTTTATGCTCCGTCCTACCAATTGAATTGCTTGGTAAAATATTTACCATATTTACTTAAACCTGGATTTAGGACTAGCTTAAAAAGGGAGTGGCCTCAGGTGAATCTTGTATTCCCTAATCATATTTCTTTACCAAATTCACAAGAGTTGTCCTAGAACACTGTTTCAATTGATTCCCAAAAGAGCTGAGTTTTTTTTTTTTTTCGAACATATGCAGAAAAGCACAACCTAAATCAAATTTTAAAACACAACCTAAACTCTAACCTAAATCCCCTCCCCCACACTTAAAACTTACATTCTCCCCAATGTAGGGTAAAATGCAAAGAAAGGGCAGAAACAACTAAACTATAAATGCAAAAACAAAAAAAAAAAGAAGAGAAAAAGAAAAAGCAAACTTCCCCTTTTCTAATCAGCATAAATTGGATCCTCTAACTCTTGTGGTTGCAACTTTCAGTGCTTTCCCCTTCCATCCATCATGTGTGGGTTCAGCCTTATTTGTGGTTGACAGGAAGGTTTCACTTGCTCTTCAAGTAAGAGGTGATGCATGCATGTAGACGGGATGCTTCCTTTGATATCCGCAGTCGTCCAACCGATAGCCGTCTTATGCTCATTGAGAACCTGTACAAGCTCCTCTTCTTGTGGTGCGCTAAGGCTACTAGAGATGATCACCAGTAATGTCTCTCCGTCTCCAAGGAATACGTACTTGAGGTGACTAGGGAAAGGCTTCAACTCTGGAATGGAGGCCTGCAAAACAGAGGGTAAGTCTAGAGAATCATCCAATGCTGCAACAGTTTCCTGCAAATCAGCATTCAGCATTGGCTCTTCTTTTTCAAGATGTTTACTAATGGAGACTTCTAATCCATCATTTCCATTAAGTTCGAAGACTTCCTATGCCAAAGAATCAATCACATCAATAGAACAAATAGGATTGTCATCAGTAGGATATTTCATGGCATCATAAATATTAAACTCAACAATCTTACCATCAAATTCCATGGTGAGTGTGCCACTATAAACATCTATCTTAGTCTTGGATGTTTTTAAAAATGGTCTTCCTAGCAGAATAGGAGTGGTTTGATCACCATTATCCATATCAAGTACATAAAAATCAGCAGAAAAAACCAAATCATTTACTTTTACAAGAATATCCTCAACTACACCCTTAGGATAGGCATTAGATCTATCAGCCAATTGAATCACTATACCAATCTTATTCAAAAGTCCAAGTTTCAAAGAAGCATATATAGAATATGGCATGACACTAATAGAAACTCCCAAGTCTATCATGGCCTTCTCAATTCTAGTGTAACCTATCATGTAGGGGATAGTGAACATACCTGGATCCTTGCACTTTGTAGGGAGTTTTCTTTGAATAACTGTAGAAACATTCTCCCCTACTCTCACCTTTTTACATCCTTTTAGTTTATGTTTCCTCTTATGTGTACACAATTCTTTCAAGAATTTAGCATAATGAGGTACTTGTTTAAGAGCATTAAAAAGGGGAATATTTGCCTCGCATCTACGAAAAGTCTCATAAAAATCTTTATACTGCTCATCTTCTCTACATCCTGCTAAAGCATGAGGAAAAGGACGTATCGGTTTATAATCAGAAAGAGGTGGAAACTTACGCTTAGGTACTCCATCATCGGGAATGATGTCTTTCTCCTTTTCTCGGTTCGGCAATGCGGGGGCTGCCCTTGCTGGAGTTTCAACCTCTTCATCACTTTTCAAAACGATTGCACTTACATTTTCTTTTGGATTCACAACCGTTTGAGAGGGTAATTTCCCTGAACTTTGCGCCTCTAACCGACTAATTGCCGTCACCATTTGGCCCATCTGATTGTCCAAACGTTGGATACTGGCCCTTGTCTCCTGCTGAAATTGTTTCGACTCCTGTTGAAATAACAAAGTATTAGTGGCAAGAGATTTAACAATATCCTCTAAAGACATACATGAATCAGAAGTTTGGGCTGACTGTTGTCTAGGGGGGTATGGCTGATATGGCTGAAAAGTTTGGTGGTTTTGTGGATTCCCATAGCTTAGATTGGGGTGATCCTTCCATCCCGGATTATATGTGCTTGAATAGGGATCGTACTTCCATTGCAGTTGCCCCAGAAAACCACCTACCGCATTCACTTGCTCAATGGGCTCCTCTTGAAGAGTTGGGCACAAATTCGTTTGATGCCCTACTATCGAACATATCCCACAAGCATTCACCGTTTGCATATTACCTGCAGCCATTTGACGAACAAGAGAGGTCAGACTTGCAATTTGTTGTTCTAGGGAAGAGATATTTACCTCATTAGCATGCTTTGCTGGAGGGTTGAGCCTATAGCTGAACTGTTGAGAATTGGCCGCCATGTTTGCAATCAGATTTCTCGCGGCCTCGGGGGTTTTATCCACTAAAGCTCCTCCACTAGCAGCATCAATTATGCTCCTATTAGTACGTTGAAGTCCCTCATAAAAATACTGAATAAGTAGTTGTTCGCTGATTTGATGATGGGGACAGCTTGCACATAACTTCTTAAAGTGTTCCCAGTATTTATGTAGGGACTCCCCGTTGTATTGCCTTATACCGTAGATTTCTTTTCTGATATTGGCCGCCCTTGAAGCTGGGAAGTACTTTTCTAGGAATAGCCTCTTCATTTCGTTCCATGTGGTAACACTCCCGGAAGGTAGATAATAGAGCCAATCCTTAGTTGAATCCTTTAGAGAAAACGGGAATGCTCTCAATTTCATTTGCTCTTCAGTTACCCCCATGGGTTTCATGCTCGTGCATACCACATGTAGCTCCTACAAAATTAGCATCAGCATCTAAAGCAGGAAAAGTTATGCATAGGGATTGCTGATTCAAATCAGGTGCAGCAAGCTCTTTCAAAGTTCGATTTCCGGCCATGATGTCCTCTTCTCTCAAATCAGATCCGCTAACAGATAGAGAATCAAAGGCTGGATCGTTCTCCTCGGAATGACTCCGAGCTTCCCTCCTTAACTTGCGCAAAGTCCCTTCTATTTCTGGATCGTACTGCAATTCACCTTTCTTAGAGAATCGAGTTACAGGCATAAATTAAGGAAAACCTAATAAACCCTAAACGACATACCAAAAAACAAATAAAAAAAAATCCAGAACGATTAAATAAATAGATAAATGAATAAAACATAAAATAATCTATGCTAAAACACAAACAATCAAAGTGATCTATAGAAAAAAAAAAGGAAATTTTTTTTTTCTGGAAATTTCAAGAACTAAACAATGATCATGAGAAGCACAAAACTAATTAGAAAAACTCCTCGGCAATGGCGCCAAAATTTGGTGTGCTGTCGTAGGCACCAAAAAATAAAACCTATACTCGTGAGAACAAAACGTAGTAGTGCGAGTAAGGATCGTTCCCACAGAGAGTATCTAACCTGAATTATGTGCTACATGAATCAAAGATGGAGGGGGGGGTTGTATGTAACGAAAACCAGATTTAAAAGAAAGAAAATCATAATTAAAAAGAACGAAATATAAATGGGAAACTAGGTAATTTAGAGTGTTGAAATTAACCAAAAGAACGAATCTTGGTCTAGGATAACATCCACCATAAGAATTTCACCACTACTCATCGATGCAAAGATAAATCAATTCAGACTTTGAATATTCATCGTAGGAATTATTTTCCTGCATCTTCCTAATATCAGTTAATCGGAAAACAA